TTCAGGGGCCTGGTCAGCGCTGTGTCCGTGGTATAGCGCGACCGGGCCCCTTTAAAAAAAAATAAAAAATAGCAGCCGCAGCAAGTGCTGCTGGGAGGAAGTGGTCACTTCCTCCCAGCTCACTCCGCGAGGGAGGAGCGCCATGCCGACTACTGCCATCAGCCCCAGCCACCCTCCTGCAAAGAAAAGGTAAGAGACAGGAGGGTGGCTGGAAAATGAGCTTTGTGTGTGTGTGTGTGTGTGTATTTCTATGTATGTCTGTCTGTATGTATGTCTGTCTGTATGCATGTATGTCTGTATGTATGTATGTCTGTCTGTCTGAATGCATGTGTCTGTCTGTATGCATGTCTGCATGTATGTCTGTATGCATGCATGTGTGAATATGTATGTATGTCTGTCTGTATGTATGTCTATGTATGTATATCTGTGTATGTATGTATATCTGTATGTATGTATGTATGTCTGTCTGTATGTCTATGTATGTATGTATGTTTGTATGTATGTATGTCTGTATGTATGTCTGTATGCATGCATGTATGTATGTATGTCTGTCTGTATGCATGTATGTCTATGTATGTATGTCTGTCTGTCTGTATGTGTATGGATGTATGTCTGTCTGTCTATGTATGTCTGTTTGTCTGTATGTATGTATGTCTGGATGTATGTCTGTAGGCATGCATGTATGTCTGTCTGTATGTATGTATGTTTATGTATGTATGTATGCCTGTCTGTATTTGTGTATGTATGTCTGTATGTATGCATGCATGTATGTCTATGTATGTATGTCTGTCTATGTATGTCTGTATGTCTGTATGCATGTATGCATGCATGTATGCATGTATGTCTGTATGCATGCATGTATGTCTGTCTGTATGTATGTATGTCTGTCTGTATGTCTTTATGTATTTCTGTATGCATGCATGTATGTCTATGTATGTATGTCTATGTATGTATGTCTATGTCTGTATGTATGTATATATGTATGTCTGTATGTCATTATATATGTATGTCTGTATGTCAGTATGAATGTATGTCTGCATATCATTATGAACGTATGTCTGTGTGTATGTGTGAATGGATGTCTGTATGCATGTATGTCAGTATGTATGTATGTCTGTCAGTATGTCTGTATATATGCATGTATGTCAATCTGAATGTATGTATGTATGTATGTCTGTATGCCATTATGAATGTATGTCTGTGTATGTCTGTATGCCATTATGAATATATATGTGTATGGATGTCAGTGTCTGTATGTCTGTCAGTATATCTGTATGTATGAATGTTTGTGTCTGTGTGTGTATTCCTGTTGGCAGTATTTGGAGGCGGACCCTGTGGGCAGTATTTGGAGGCGGGCCCCAGGGGGCCCAGACCCTGAGCTGAGTTAGGGGCCCCAAAATTTCTGGTGGCGGCCCTGCTTATTAGTCCTGCAGCCCTCCATATGTCTCAATAACCCCCCATGATTCCCTATAGCCCCCTTCCCAGCCTTCCATGTGTCTCATTACCCCCTCTCCAGTCTTCCATGTGTCTAATTCCACCCCGTCAGCTCTACATGTCTCATTAGCCCCCCAACCCCCCATATTTCTCAATCCATCCCCCCAGCCATCCATGTGTGTCAATCCATCCCCCCCCCAGATCTCCATGTGTCTCATTACTCCCTCAGATCTCCATGTGTCTTATTAGCTCCCCAGCCCCTCCATGGTCCCTATGGTGCTTCTAGGCCTCCATGTGTCCCTAGCCCCCACAGTCCTCCATGTCCCTGGCCCCCCCTCAGCACCATGTGTCCTATAGCCCCTCCCAGCACTACATGTGTGTTTCATTAGCCCCCTCAGCCCCCTCATGTGCCTCATTAGCCCCCCAGCCCTTCATGTATCTCATTTGCCCCCATTTGTCAGTGGCCCCTACCCAGCCCTCCGTGTGTCTCATTGGCCCCATGTGTCTCATTAGCCCCAGTCCTCCATGTCTCATTTCCCCCAGCCCTTCATGTGTCTCATTTGCCCCCCATTTGTCCCATTAGCCCCCTTCCATCCTTGTATGTCTTATTAGCCCTCCCATGTGTCTCAGTAGCCCTCCATGTGTCTAAGTAGCTCATCATGTGTCCCATTAGTCCCTCAGCCCTCCATGTGTCCTATACCTCCTCCCAGTCCTTCATGTGTCCCATTAGCCCCCTCCCAGCCCTGTATGTGTTTCATTAACCCTCCCACGTGTCTCGGTATCCCCACCCCATGTGTCCCATTAGCCACTCAGCCCTCCATATGTCCTATTAGCCCTCCCAGCCTTCCATGTGTCCCAATAGGCCCCCTCCCAGCCCATTCATGTATCCCTATACGTCCCTCCAGGCCTCCATGTGTCCCTATACCCCCCTCTCAGCCCTACATGTGCCCAATAGGCCCCCTCCCAGACCTCCATGTGTTCCTATAGCCACACTCCTAGCCCTCCATGTGTCCCTATACCTCCCTCCCTGGCATCCATGTGTCCCTATACCCCCATATGTCCCTATAGCCCCCCTCCCAGTCTTGCATGGATCCCTATAGCCCCCTTCCCAGCCCTAGATGTGTCCCTATACCCCCTCTTAGCCCTCCATGTGCCCAATAGGCCCCCTCGCAGCCCTCCATGTGTCCCTATACC